CCTCTGATCGCCTCTAGCGGGCTCAGTATGGCTTCATTTGTTCGAGGCAAAAAGTACACTCACCTCTGTGACTCCTGGTCCTCGTCATGTGTGAAGTGAGTGAGTCTGCAGCCAAAGTAGGGTGCCAGTTTTTCAGGGTAAAACTTCACGGGAATGGGGTTGGAAATTAGCGGCACCGAACGCCATCTCCAGACTGCGCCCGCGGTGCCGCGCAGCCAGCCACACGCCTAAGCATAGCCAAACGCGTCACTTGCCTGCGCCCTCCCACTTCTGGTTATTCTCTACCGCTGAGTACGTGCTGCGCTGCGGGACTATGGTATCACGCAAGTGCTCCACCTCGAGCTCAGCGCGGGGGGAGTCGGGGGACTGCCTGGGCATCACTACCCTGCAGCCCGTTCCCGTGCACTTTTGAGCGGAGAAAGTGGCTTGCTACTACTGCTGCGGACCCATCTACGTGGCACATAGCAAGGACCATCCTTGGAGTGAGTGTACAGATTGTCTCTGAGCACACGCTTCAGGCTGACATAAATATTGTAGAAATACTCGGATTTGCCGATGTTGGTGAATGGTTTCTCCTTCTCGTAGCAGTGGAGACAGTGGACCTTGTGCTTATGAAGGAACAGCTCCGGATCGTTTCATTACGGCTATTCTCACCTATTCCGTGTACCTCGTCACCTAGTGCGACGTCTGTTCTATGCTCCAATCTCACACCCACCCTCCCCTGCTTTCACTTCATGACAACTAAAAGGCATACTCACGAGATGACTCAGGATTCACTGGACTGCGTGCGAAGAACGCTCGCTTGATACCTCCAAGGATGTTGCTGTTGCGCTGGAAATGAGACAAGCCATCTGGGCGTCAGCTTTGCATCGTTTCTTGGCTACTGAATGGACCTGCAATATTATTACCGGTACTACCTACAATGACCAGTATCCAAATTGCTAATGATCGAAATACCTGGAAATCTGCTCCGCACCCCTCTTTTTCTCCCTTGCCTTCTTCCAAATGCCTTTTTCGGTTACCGCTGTTCTCAAAGCTTTCGTGCCAGATGGACCACTCAGGAACAATAGGAGGCAAACAGAATTTGTCAGTACCTTCTGACTGATCCACCTGAAAGTCGGTACTCAACCAGACCGTTAACAGCTCTGAAATTGAGTACAAGTATTTAGAAAAAGAAACATCGCGTGGACACCTGATTTCCTAGAGCAAGTCGCACTGCGAGTTCGGATGGCACTATTTCACCTGCTTGAGAAAAGTAGTTATCATTGGAAAATCCTCCGCTAGATTTGACCAACTGCAAAAGGAGCATTAAGACGTAAGGTTACAGAAGAGTAACTCAAGGCAACAATAACAACATCGCTACTCGGCTAGCTGGTAATACACCGCTGCACTGATCCTTATTTAGTAGTCTTGTGATTACTTTTTTGTTCAACACTCACATCACCCTGATCTGTCTCCTGGTTGTTATCGTTTTGAGGATACGGTGTTAGTGGTCGCTGACATCTTTTCCGAGGATCAAACACAACCTTGAAATTTTACATACAAGTTGAAAAATTATAGGGGAAAAAAGATCAGCAATGCGAGCACAAGGGAATAAGAGAGATCGCTGTTGTTTTGGCAGATTCGGACACAACTGCTGGAGGCGGGCGGTTGTTGCTATCGTCATTGGTAAACGGAAACTGGCCATATCCCCACAAAGCGTGGGATAGGACGGTGTAACGCAGGAAAATATGAAGGTGGTTAAATTGGTATTGGTAGTAATAATGACGTAAGGAAAAGAGCTGATAAATATTTTCATGATATCGACAAGCACCAACCGAAAGACGCGTCCGAATCAGATCACGTCGCTGTGGACTCCCGAGGGATGGCGGGTGTTTTTGGTTGCTGGAAGGCAGTGGCGTATTTAGCTGGAATATTTTTCTACCAATGCGGATTTTTCCCCTTCACAAGCGCAATTTCGAATTTTCTAGTCCCAAAATTTTGCTGTCGAGCGGAGGAGGGAGCCCCAACGCCGTAGACTTCTCTCAGAAGGCGGATACGACCCCCCCCCTTTCCCAACAATAAGCAAATACGACCCCCTCCCCTCCCTCCTTTGCAGCGTGCGTGAAGCAAGAAAAATCGACTATCGAAAAATTTCCTGTGACCTAATAACGATCCCCCTCGCTGGGGATTCCTCGACGTACGACGTGGTCTGATTGAATACCCACCATCATAAGTGGGCTATGCGGCGAAATTTTTATTGCTGGCAGTCAGAGGTGTTTACCCTACCGCTTGACGAAATCTTGAGAATATTTGGTAATAGAGCTGGTGGGATATGAAGGGGAGGGGGCTCGTACCGAAGGGAAGGATTTGGAGAGGGTCATCTAGGCGAAATTCTCCTCAGCGCCAGGAACCACCCTGGTCCGAACGCGCACTGCCTTCGCCCTATGCTCGTACAGCGCCCAAAACTGATAAGAGTGTATCATTCGGGGCGCTTGACGTTTCCTTCGGCTTTTTTCTTCACGTGCACTTCCTTTCCCACATTTCGAACGTCTTACCCTTCTCCTCCCATGGTAAGCTGTGCCTCACTATCATGTATTATCAAAAGAGCCAGGCTCAAAACTGCAGAGCACGTGGAGTTACTGAACAAAAGACACCGAACAGGATGAAATAGAGGAGTCACTGTAATCCGAAAACTGATAAGCACACAAAAGTAACCACTACCTGATAAAGGAAGGTATTCTCGGCACGGATGAAATCCTCAATAAAATCTTTCGAAACACTCAGTTTCGACATGTTGAGGTACGTGGGTATTCGAGGAAGCAACTGGAAAATCGTAGTACGTATGGAATTTTCTTCGGAATTCACTTACCGTAGGAAGATACGTCCGAGAGGTTTTCGAGAAGAAAGAAAGAGCTCTCTTGAGGCCGATCCCAGGTAAGCCAGCCTAAGGCACATTCCACTGTTAATCACGACTGATATTAACACGTTGACGACAATCGCGTTTTGCGGGAAAGCGCCGCGTGGGACAATGGCGTGTTTTCGCATGCGTCCGCTTTGAGCCACCGGTGGCTCATATTGTCCCTCGTGGACCACTTTTTTGCCGCTATGTCAAATTTCGCAAAATGATTAGTCAGTCGTGCAGGGACTGCTATTTCAACCATCCTTGACCCTATTGGATGCCATCTCATGCCCCGCCTCTGCGATCACGCCCACTTTTTAGCGCGATCGTGATTTCCAAAATGTGTGCCATAACTTCCGTTTCTAAGAATTGGATTTTCTGCTTTTCACACATAGGTGTAGAGGTTTCTGTCGAATTCGGTGCCAAAAAGATTGCTGGCGCCAAAGTGGCGCCCGCTGGCGCCAGGTGGCGCCAACACTGGAAGGCAACGATATTCGTGACAAGGATGTCAAATAACCTAGCTATGGAGGTTTCTATCGCATTCGGTGCCAAAAAGACTGCTAGCGCCGAAATG